CTTTGGTGTGTCATTCTTCCTGTTTTTCCTGCCTGTCCTTTTTTTTTTTTGTGTGTGACCCGATGGGTCACGGATCAGATATTAAACTGATCAGAACAGATACTACACTTGATCTTAGCCAAAAGGCCGAGAAAGGTATTTTTCTCTTGAAGTACTTTTTGTGTCCCCTGCTGAGCACCTTTAAGCAGTGTCAATTAGTCGGTCATTCTTCGTTTGGAGTGCGTCCAACAGTCTTAGGGGGACTGCTCAGTTTGGGATGTCTGTGTTTCCCGTGGGTGATGACGGGTGTTCGTCTGAGTGAATCCCTGGCTCAGCGACTGGTGGGAACCAAGAGTCTGCGGGGTTCACTCATGATGTGAGTAGGTGATATGGTGGTTTGCTCTGTGTGGGATGTGTAGACTGCCTCGTCTGCGCTCTGCCACAGCCTTGCTGCCTGTCCCGCTTGCTCCCTTATTCTCTCACTCTCACTAACTTGTATCGCTCAACTCCCCGCTATACTAACCTGAAGATCAACCCTGAATACACTTGCCTCCAACTGCCTTCTTCCTTCGGCAGATATGGCTGCCAACCCTACCCATCTACACCCTAGCTATGGAGATCATCAAAGCGCCTTCTTCCTCCTCCAGGCGCTCCAGGTGGCGTTGTCGCACAAGCAGCATGCAGCGCTTCCACAAGTGCCGCAACACTGAATGAATGTGCCGCTGCACTGAAGCAGCTATAAAAAGGAGCTTGGACTGGACATGCCTGCTTCCGACCAGTACCGGTCACCCGCTGCCTGTCCACTGCTTCATTTTGTCCGTCCAGTAGCTTGTGGACTTCCTGGGACGCTGCTGCAAAATTGGACTTTGGGACGGGGGCTATTCCTGTCAATACCGGTCTGACTTCTAACTAACTACCGGCCTATTCGACTACCGGTCCGACCGCAATTACGATGCTTCGACCTTCTCAGACCCTGGACCCCACAGACCCTCCCTCAGGACTCTATCACATGTTAGTAAGAAGTGTGCTCTATACATTGCCGTGGAGTTTGCTTGAAATGGCCTTATGGTTTTCTTATAAATTGAGGTGAAAAATGGGGGGTCGGTTAACCGGCTCTCCCGGGACTGGTTGGGACCAGCACCATCTGGGACTGGGACCAACTGGGACTGGGACAATTTGGAACCCTGGAACCGGGACTTGGGATGCTTGCAGCATGAAATCCTTTCACATGGGAGAACACCCCTCCCTCCCACCTATTCCCTCCAAGGGTCTAGGTTCAAAGCAGGGATAATAACTCATTTCAAGGTAAGGGAGCAGCATAACCAGCAGTGAAAGGTGACAGGCACCACAGGGACAGGCACTACAGGGAACAGAATACTCTGTGCTGGACAAGGGGTTGAAAACCCAAAGGAAGGAACAGAAGCCAATCAGGCCTGATTTAAGCAGTTTCCTTCATGATCTCTAGAGCATCAAGAAGACGTCTAGCAGCCAGGGTGAGAGTAGCATCTCAAAAGCACAATCTTCAGAAGCCCCAAGCTTAGCAAGTAGGTAGGGGGGGGCAGGGGTGGAGCAGTGGTAAATCTCTCCTGTCACGGAGCCAATCAATGCCGCTGAGTCCCAGGGTCTCTCAGCCATAGAGGAGGGAAGCATGCAGTGCATCCAATTACGTAATGGACTTCTGACCAAGTTTCCAGCTTAGAATATAAGAAATAGTTCAGTTTTGTGGAAAAAAAACAAAGAAAAATGCAGATGAGCGGAAGCAGCAGCAGCAGTTAAGATGGTGTTGTGGAGGAGCAGGAGGAGGAGGACAGGCAAGAGGAGGAGAAGAATGAGGAGCGGGAAGATCAGGAAGAGGAGGCGGAGGACACAGAAGAGGAGGAGGAGGAGGAGCAGAAGCAGGAGAAG